ATCAATTATGCTTACATGTATATGAAAATTGCGTAGTACGCTCTACTGTTTCTGTTCATGAGTGATGCTACATTTGTCACGCCGAAAGTCGGTCGGTCGGTTCATTTCTTGATTTCCGGACTATAGATAAGGTTTGGAATAAGATATTGTTATTAAACTTGGTAAAGTAAGCTAAGATGAAGACTCCGCTTGTTATTGCGTTATTGCTTTTGTCCCCCGGGGTCATGGTCGAAGTCACGCTTACTATAAATGGAGAAAATGGTTTCCGGACAATAACTAGAGTAAGTAATGAAATATTGTTATCAACTTGGTATCAAGGCAATTTATATTAAGGCCCCGTTTGGGTATAGCTTTTGGACTCCCTTGGATCAAACTCAAGGGCGTTGTTACTAAAAATAGAAAGATGGTTTCCGGAGAATAATAAGAGTTAGGAATGACCTTTTATACAGCAAGCATATATTAAGCCCTCGGTTGGGTTTAACTGTATACGCGCATAATATAGGCAAATATTCTTCAGTGGGCAAAAACTAATTGCCTAGCGTTTTGATTCATAATAATGCTCGACAAGGCAAAGACCAGCACTCTTGAGCTTTCAATCATGAACTTCCTTATGGCATGGCATTCATGACTTTCCTATATATCAGAAGACTTACATCAAAAATTTATTTGTTTGCAATTTCAGAAAAGAATAAATGATGTGAATATTACCATACATTAACTTTCAAATCCAGATGTTATTGGATCGAAATGGGAGATGAACATTTTTTGCAATTCGTTTGAATAGTTTTTATGGCATAGCCTCTGTTAATAATTTTCTTCATCAACGATTTTGGTAACCAAGCAGTGGGGATTCTATTTTTTATCAGCAGACATAAAATTAAATTATTGAAAACGTACTAAAATATGCCTGATTTGAAATGGTGTGCGCATACTAGCAAATGTAGCGGGAAGGGTTTTGGATGTTTTTCAGAAGGACAACCTTCAAATGTAAATATTTTCACGCAAGGGCTAATAAATGTATTAACGATACAAATCAATTGTTTTGGAGAATCTTTACTTTGCCTGAGGTTCCAACCAACGATCTATGCATTGTTTTCCCTATTGAGCTACGTACGTTGATAGACAGGCTCATAACGACAGCAGACATACAAAATTGATTTATTAAGTCGGGATTTAAATAAATTGTTTGCGATGGGTACATTAAAACGACACGTTATGAATTATAGTCCATAATTCATCTGCTTGCAAAACCATTTTTTTAAAAATAAGATCGACTTGTTTTAAATTAGGGAAATTCCCTCTGATAGACATCATGTCATTTATACAATTATTAGTATTACAATAATCTCTAAAATAGATTATCAACAAAAGGTAAAACAAACTTTAAATGCATAAGGAACATATTGTGTTACATTGGGTAGTCACCGTTTGAGATTATAACTTGATAAAATATTACCATGTACGACCATAACTGCCATGTCATCTTAAGATTATTTTTGTAGATTACAAAACAAAAAGAAAACAAATAAAACAAAACAAAATACAACAGAAATCATGAAAAGAACTTGAAAAACACTGATATCTGAAGGTAAACAATAATAAAAAAAATCGTTGCCTCAACCTTGAAAGCTGCATTCATTGCAAACGTAAGATTCACGTAAAATACTTTAATGAATGAAAAGAATAATTTCGACACAAAAAGATTAGCGTTGTATATCTGTCCTGCAATGTTATATATAGCCACTTTATTTGTAGGATAAACGCATATTCATTTTTTGAGTAATGCAACCAATTTTAAACTCAATACATTATTGAGCCATGTTGTACATGTGTTTGATTAATCGGAAGAACCTAGTCAGCAAGCATGTATTTATAACAGTTAGGACGTGAAGTTCATCAACTTGCCAAGTTCTGATCATGAATTCTGACTATATTGCCCTTCGTTTCCTCAAAAGAGTTGTGTTTTTGTGTGTTTCGCAAAAATGTATACTTGGTTAATTAGATTATAATGAAAGTAAAAAATATTGTTGTTTAGATATCACTAAAATCAAATGAACATAAAAGGAGTAAATTTAGGGCATTATATCATCGTAAGGCAAATGTCTACCAGAATTTTCATTAGATTGTTGTTGTAACTCGTCGAACTAGTAATCTAAGGATTGCTTGCCGCATGGGTTCAATCCTTGCCAGGGGCTAGCCGTTGTTTCCTTGAGTAAGAAATTTTAAACTCATTTCTTAGTACTGGTTGGTTTATTTTTAAATATTTCTTTCAGCACTTTCACTAATTGTGATTGTTTTTCAGTTAAAGTATTCAAAGTTTGTTAATTATATCTAAACTTTTCTTAAGGAAACTTAGCCAAGCGCAATTTGCTAAATTTTTATTTGCCTTATGTCAGTAATGCATTGATTCTTATGAGCAAATGTGTTCATTTACTGAAATAAGGTTCTTTATAATTGATTAAGTAGCCTTTTTTAACAAAACATATAATCAAAATTGATCTATGTATATCGATAAGAGCACAGTGATTCCTGAATGACATAATAATTTACCGGTGTGTTCTTCAGTTATGACTGTTTTACTGTTTAATATTTTTAAATAAACATTTTGTAAGCAAAACATCCATCCTAAGCGATAAATCAAGCAATTTAAATAATTGAATGTCTTAAACACATGAATGTATGGTATTACAACTTGTCTAACTAACTATCAGTGTAGGGTTGATATCTGATACAAATGAAAATGAAAAAGGAAATCGTTTCAATTATTACCCTTTTATTGTTGATGTTGGTTATTTTATTATTTTTAAATACTTTACTTTACTTCTTATAAACAAAACAATGTTTATCACAAGTTCATTTATAAAAGCGAAGAGGAAAATGATTGCATTGAAGGCCTGGTCATTTTCTCGATGTCGATTTTAATCGGAATTAGGTTGTGTCAACTTCGTGGGGTTTATGTTTCCCAGTTAATTAGATTCGCTAGAGCTTGTAGCAACGTAAATGATTTCAACGAGCGGTAAATTTTTATTACCAGCAAGCTTCTAAAACAGGGCTACCGCTATCATAAATTACGGAAATATTTTACTAAATTTTACAATCGTAACTTTGATTTAATTTCCAAATTCAATAGTGATTTAAAAACTCTTCTGCGACAAGGGATTAGCCAGCCTGGTTTTTATGGCGATGTGATTTACAAACTTCGTAAGATTTTGGGTCATGGTAATTTTTCTGCTGTTTTTACTAAAATCATTAAACGTTTTATTAAAAGAGGTTATGACCCTACTATTTTAAGACATACTGCATGTTTAGTGTTCAACCCTTTTACAGTTGGACACTACGCTTTCCTCTTTTGATTGCATCTGACGGACCAAGTGGGAGACTCTATGATGGATAGTTCGTAAAGCCCTTTGGGACTGAATTGTCTTAATGTTCGTCTTCTGCCTTGCTTCGTCGGGCCCTTGTAGGTGATTTTCTTGTTGCTCTGTCTTCCTTTAGGACATTGAGTACTTTTGTTATGGTCATTGGGTTTACTTTTATATGTTTCTACATGATCATTTTAGTGTTTTACTTATTTAACCTTTTGTAACCATGACAACTGTTAGAATTTCACTTGGCGGGGATTCATTTTATTTACACTGTCTCGTTTATAGGAACATGGTGGGGCTAAGAGCGAGGTTTGGTGCACCATTAACCGGTTTAAACTCCCCAGCAGTCATTATTATGCTGCTGACCGTTCCAAGGCGGCGCCCCACTGTGTTCCTCAGATGTATGTCTTATGTTGTTTCATACTGTTTTGGTGACACTTTTGCTTGTGTCCCTTGTTGTTTTCTCGTCTACGGTAAGTATCTTCCCCATTGCCTCTAGTTTTTATTTCTTTGATTACTCCCCACCCCCTCCCCCGGTCTCCTGTCTCCTTCCCCTTTGTGGGCCTATTTTTATTTTCTTTGAATTCCTAATCAGTTACAAATTAATTATCATTTAATGATTAACCTGTCCGTGCTCTGTCTTTGCCCTGTCCTGTTTTTGTTTGGGGTCCCCCTGGGCTCCTTGCTATTGGTTCTTGTTGCTGGGTCATGTGGGGGTTGCGTTCATTGAACGCCGCCTTTCCTTGTTGATCTTGTTTATCATATTTTTCGCATGTACCTTAAGATGAACAAAGATATAATTAATAGTAAACCATCACATAATTTATACGACTTTTTTTTTCATTTTGTAACCTGATTTGAGGTTTCAGAAACCTTAGCCACAGCATTCTCACAACCGCCTAAGGAGCTAAGGTACTCCTGCAAATTGTAAAATGAAAAAAAGTAATTTTCCAAAATTGACTGTCAAATTTGTATATTTACAAAAAAAACCTGGACTCGTCGTTTATCAAGTTGTAAAGTTTTTCAGTTAAGGTATGAGCATTATCAATGCAAATAAAAGATTTGACAGGCATTTTAAAACTTAACTATCTTAGAATTGTGAACAATAGACCTTTCCAGTGTTTGCAGTTTCAATGACTGGTAACTTCCCTATTGAAACACTTTGAAAATACATACACAGTCTCTAATTGACCTTGTTTACACAAAAGAAGACAATCTTTTCTTTGTGATACTGTTTGTGTGCAATTTACCAATTACAGAATAGAAAAAGGATGACCGAAATTTCCATTGTAAAATTGGGAAAGACCCATTTGATTCCCGACAGAGACTTCGATAGAAAAACTTTTACAGTCAGATTTGCTTCTCGTTTATATACAAAAGGCTTATATTATATATGTTTATTCCATGTATGTGCTTACTGACTTTTGATGTGATATAAGTTTAACAAACACACACGCACGCACGCAACAACAACAACAACAACAACAAACAAACAAAGCATGACTTCACCATCAGCTACGAATCTGTACTTAATTACTCTTTTACTTTTTTGTCAATTTGTTTTCTTTTGTATTTCAGCAAAAACGTCCCTGCTGAACATTTATCTTTAAACAGCATGTACAATATCAAAAAAAAAATAAGGAAGTTATCTGCACTGCTTCTTTCACATTGGCATGTAAAGCTTATAAAGTCAACAAAAGAGTCATTTAACCATTAACCAATAAGACCGTAAGTAATTGTCACATGCAATACACTTTACTTACGATGAGAAACTGAATACATTTGAAATAGATCGGGCTTGTTGAACTAGGAGAATTAAATGTAACAGAGATAATGTGGTGGATATATGTTTTTGTGTTTCTTATTCTTATGACTGTAATATTAAGGTCTATCGATTGGCTTTTTCAAACAATTCCGTCTAAAATAGAAACAAAAAATGTTACAGATTTACCAGTGAAACTATCAAAAGAAGCAGGTGCCGCCAAACAAGGGACACTTAAAAAGCGCAAAAGGTGAGTTCTGTCGTTTCTTTTTAAATTTTGTTTTTGTTTATTCACATGAAAAATGTTTTGTAATAAATAATTTTACTTCTTTTTTTTCAGTTTGCATACAAAAAGACTTTCGAGGAGTCATGTCTGTATTTGAAAAACCTTTGTTTATAAGGGATGATCTATAATAACCCGGACTTTTAATTTTAAAAAATGAACATTACTTTATACAGGAAAAAGTTAAATGACAACATTCAGAATAAATCGTCTTTGGATATAGTTTTTTAGATTTACAATGGAATATATTAGCATTTTTAAACAAAACCTAATGTAACACTATCGGTACTCTGTAGAAATTGTTTGTCTTAAAAGGATTTATCTTTACTTTATGCATAGATGTTTGAAATATGATTGTGTCAAAATGGTGTGAAGGGGTGATAAACATATACAATATGGATTCTGCTTCTTTTTTACGGAATGCAACATGAATACCGAAATAGAGACAGAAAAAATATAAAAGATAAAGCCGGCAAAGATTGCCTTTAGACTCAATTTGAACCTAATAGAACATGCAAAACAAATTTTTCGACACACTGAACGTAATAAAAAAAACAACATAAATAAACAAAAATGAAAAAACAAAAACAAATAGACAGTAGGAAAATGATCTAGTTTATTGCAAGATATGTAGTAATGAAAGAACGTAAGTTCCATACTTATTTTATATGTGAGCCTTTACAGAAACATTCTAAGGTTTTGATGTTTTATAATCAGCGTCCATAAATTGTATTACAAAGTTAACTCTCGTACAGCTATTGAAATTTAATTTAATTTTGAAAAAGATCTTGTCTTGCATTCATTGAACGCCGCCTTTCTTTGTTGATCTTGTTCATCATATTTTGAGTACGTTCTTGTACAATATCGCACGCTATGTGGGCCAGATGCGCAGTAATATAATCACGAAGGTCGTAGGCCTGAGTGATTTATTACAAACATCTGAACGAAATACCTTGCAATATTGTACAACTCTGCACACACAAAAGAACCAAAAATCCTTTTCCATTCTAACACGTCACGAAAGAAATATATATTGTTGGACTAAATCCATGGTTGTTTACACATGGCAACGCTCCAATCGACTGGAAATAACTGTCGATAATTCTTCTATATGCGCAATATTTTGAGAATTGAAAATTTTGGAGAAGTTCATGTAGTGTTGTGTATATAATTTAGTGCCAAACAAGAAAATAAGTTGATTACAATAAAACCTGAAAAATATTTTTCTAAATTGAAGCGGATAACTGGGTCAACGATTCTTTTGAATAAAGTTCAACAACAAGAATAATCAAACCCTGTTTGCAATTTTATTAATCTTAATCCTTAACAAGTGCTGACCGATCTTTTTCGGATGCATGTATATAGTGATGGAGCTATCAAACATATTCTTTGTAAGCATATGCACCTGAGTGCTGTATTGCGTAGTTTCGGGGGAAGCAATTAAAGCAGCAAGTGCATTGTTATGAAATAAAGCACGCTATTTCTGGTCTTCTTTGTTTACATAGACTAACACTTTGATAGTGTTAGAATGAATATGAATATAATGCACAGGTAAAAAGGAAAAGATGTAAAGATCACGTTTCAAGAGTTGTTTTGTTACCCATCAAATAACTATTCATATCAGTTTTTTTAATATCTATACTTTAAGAAAAATATTAACTAACCATGCTTTTTGTTGTTTTGTTTGATTTTTTTTGTGTTATTTTCATTTTTTGCAGAAGAAATGTTCTACTGAGTTACTTTTATTGTTTACTGTTTTTGTCGTGTTCGGGATTGTCTTAGGAAAGTTATTTTTTCTTTTAAGGAAAAAACAAATATTTTTTATTGTTTGTAACATGGCATTAAACTGTATTACACTGTATGGTATGACCAGATAATAATATATGAGTGACTGATGTTCTGACCCACTAAGATCCGATCTGTTCCGTTAAATTGTTGTTTTAGTCAAATTTTTGGAACGCCGTGACTGTCTTATGTGATCAATGTTTTTGCTATCTTGTGAAACAATGATATTATTTTGTCGTTTGAGCATGTTAACATATGCAATTCACACCATGTTTTGTCAAGGGATCATGCTGACTTGTTCAAATAACATGTTAACTTGTCAAAGTATCATGATGACTTGTGCAGATAACATGTTAACGTTTTGAAGTATCATGATGACTTGTGCAAACGACATGTTAACTTGACAAAATTTCATGACGACATGTGCAAACAGAATGTTAACTTGTCGAATTATCGTGATGACATGCTCATGATACTTTGAGAAGTTAACATGTGTTTTACACAAGTCATCACGAAACTTTGACAAGTTAACATGTTGTCTGCACAAGTCATTGTGAAATTTTGACAAGTTACCATGTCGTTTTCACAAGTTATAATGATACTTTGACAAGTTAAAATGTCATTTGCACAAGTCATCATGATACTTTGAGAAGTTAACATGTTATTTGCACATGTCATCATGAAATTTTAACGAGTTACCATGTCATTTGCACAAGTCATCATGATACTTTGACAAGTTAACATGTTGTTTGCACATGTCATCATGATATTTCGACAAGTTAACATGTTATTTGCACATGTCATCATGAAATTTTAACAAGTTACCATGTCATTTGCACAAGTCATCACGAGACTTTGACAATTTAACATGTTGTTTGCACGTGTCATCATGATATTTTGACAAGTTAACATGCTATTTGAACAAGTCAGCATGATCCTTTGACAAGACATGGTGTGAATTGCACATGTTAACATGCTCAAACGACAAAATAATATCATTGTTTCACAAAAACATTGATCACATAAGACAGTTACAGCGTTCCATACAAATAAATGATAAATACACTTTGGTTTAGTCGATTTTACATCCCTTAAGCGAGCGAAATATACGCTATGGTTTAATAATTGTTTATTGTGAATAATTTCCGAGTTCCAAATCAAAAAGGTTTCTACTAATATTAAATTACATTAAATGCAAGTATATCGTTATTTTACCCCTTGATGAATATGTCATTCGTTCATTTCCTTTATAACATTCACTATTCTTTAATACAATAGATTAAAAGCTTGCTTATTTTTTTTATTTGTGATTGTGGGGAGTGAACATTAAGCAAAGCTTATTAATAATCAGAAATGTATAACTAGACACAAACACACATTCACGCACATTATCCACTACGAAAAGCATAGTTCGTTCCTGTCTTGTAAATCGGCTTCATCACTGCGACCTAGATACGAAAAGGCGCGTCCAAAAATTTGAAGAGCACTGGCTGTACCCAAACCTAAGAAATTTCGTACCGAACCATCAGCCGGCAAGGTATTTGCCACGGTTTTCTTTTGTCTCAGGATACACTTCTTGAAGTTTTATACTTAACTGTACCCTTTGCTGACACTTTTGCATGTATGCTCAAGGTTCTGGGTACCCATCTGGTAGATCTTTATGACATGCCTTAATGTTCATGTATTATAGAGCAGTTAATAAAAACAAATTCGGCAATTTTAATCCGAAGATGTTGTACCAAAAGTCTCGCAAGAAGTAGATCTACTGAATGTTTATATTAGCGATGCGATCCTGCGTTTGGTAATCTCCTAAGTTACGCCCACATTTAAATTCTGCTGACCAATTACAGCTTACAATTGATTACTATTGTTACTGCTGTGATGTGGCTTATTTACTTTTTTCTGAATCATCTAATTGTATTTCTATCTTTTTATGTTGAAGAGTGCTGGAATCAGAACATTCAGCAAGAAGAAAATCTGCAAAATCAGAGCCTTCAGAACTTACCGATGAAGAGTCATATAGAGAATCAATGTCTGAGACGAGAAGAGAAAGTATTATATTATCAAGGTATGTCACTTTTTATGAAACACATTAAGTCGCACTTAATCTGTTAAAGATATTTTGTAAAAATATATGCATATTATGTCCATTCATTTATTTCATGTTTTGTAAGTCTATTTTACAATGACAGTGCATGATGCAAATTGTTTATGCATAAAATTATTTTCAATTGTTTTTCTTAATATTTTGCAATGAACAACGCACTTATATATGACAAATTACATGCTAAACAAGTGTATGCCTAATAATAATGAAAAAGACTGATTTAAGATAATATGTACGTGAGTGATGATGTCACGAAAATTGGAAAATTATAAAAATGCACCTTAAAAAGTATGAACGGAATTGTGACTCAGCAATGTAATCGTACTGATGTTATAAGATAATATTATGTGCAAACACTCTGGGGACATAAAAAGGGACCTATCTGGGCCTAAATAAACGACTGTAAAAGTCGCCATCTTGATCTGGAAAATGTGTTTACATATTGAAAATCCTAAAATAGGGAAGTAATAATTAAAAATTGCTGTAAGTATCCGGACCAAATCTACAATAAGGCATACATTATCCAACTTGCTAAAGGAGTAGATGCGTGTCTGAAATAACATATAGAAGAAAAAGGGCCAGCAAGGTCACATTGATACTGTATTTAGAATGACTGAATGCAATAATGCCACATGATATTCATTGTTTTATATTGTTTTCTTCTATTCACTTACGGAATGTGGTCTCGGACCAAGTAAATACAAAAAATGATATGACGTTACGTGTACAGCCTACTACCAAATATGACAAGAATTGGTCAGGGTGTAAATCAATTGCATGCATAATGTCCAATGTGGAGTTGCATATTATCATGGACAACTTTGTCGTGGGGCGCGTTGTCTTGGCGTGCGTTGTCGCGATGCCGCCCTGTCGCTTGTCTTGTATATATACAAGTAGCCAATCCTTCGATTTGAGCCAAGTGACAATGTGACATTTTAACAATACGCCGCACGACAATGCACCGTCTGACATGCATAGTTAGCTACAGGACGAAAGTCCGACAACGTGCCGCTTTCTCGATATGTTGCTAGTGACAACACGACACACAAAAGTGTTCCAAATCAGCCACCATAATTAAACTTTATATATCAAACAAAATTTTTTTTAAAAATTCTTTGAAAGTATTGAATTATCCGGAAATTGTAGAAAATGTATAAAAAATGTATTAACATTATTTGGGTACTAAGTTAACTAAATAACGAAACAAACGTCATATAATTGCAAAATAAAACTCTAAAGAATTACAATTTTGCATTGAATTTAAAACTTAAAAGTCATGATGCTTATGTTTTCGTTGTCAAGCTTAGTCGAATAAGTAACATGTTTTGAAAGACCGGCTGATTGACCAATAATTGATTATAAAAATGTGTATGATACATTATAAAAACTACCAAAATTGTAAAAGACTGCTCCTCTCAAGCGTTACCGATACATTCTGATAGATATGTATAGAAATGTTCATTGGTCAGGCAGATTAACCTTTTTCTTTTATTATAAAATATAAAATGAGCAAAATTATGGCTAAACGTAAAGTTATTGTTAATCGTACCTGCTCACTGATCATTTACACTTGGATGGACATAATTAAAAGAACTAACAATCCTTTACGTATACTCTTTTAAACGCTTACTTCCAAATGCGTGGGTATGTTTTTGGTATCAAATATAATAATGATGTATTCATTTAAATGTTGACTTATTTTGTGAAAGTCAAACTAGATAAAAATGGCCTTACTGATCTAAATATAATGATAATAATTAAGGCCCGAAAAGGTTCGTACTGAGTAATTTCTTTCATACTTTATGACCATCTATTGAGTTGATATCTTGTTATACTATAAACATGAACATTGATTTATTTTTGTTTATTTAAATGTTTACCACAATGTCTTTTGATATATGATAATCTTTGGAATTTATCAAATTATATATAGTCAAAGAATTTTGCATTTCCAAATTGTGTTCAAATGAGTTTCTTTCAAAACGGAAATATTGCTCGGAACCGCTATCCGACAGTATGAAAGATTGTGTGAAATGGACAGTTCTGAATATGTATTTTTAAGCGGAAAGAGCATTGCGCATACTTCAATGCGTTTTAGCTTGTTTTATCATAACCAGATTCCACTTTGGCAACATCAAAAGATGACACCGTGATTGTCTTGCATTTTGTAAACGACTGCTTGGTACCGCACAGGTATCATGGGAAGATAGTAGGTTAATCTTAATTAAGGACCATACGCCGTTTTACATGGAATGGTAATTACGTGTTACATTGCACGTTACATGATACCTTTATGAGCAAATCTGTGGATGTTAAAATTTTACAGTTTCTTGTTTAAATGTTGAATTCGCTAAAATGCGTGGTTGGGAATTTTGCACTTTCTAGTACCGTCCATGAACAGGCTCAATCAAATAGAGCCTGTGAGATTTACAATTTTGTCGTTTTGGGATTAAGATTGTGTCTATTTCATTGCCACATCAGTGTCATGTGTGCCGTGAAGAGGCCTTGTTGATTTTGATTTCGTACTTTTTGCACTTTCCAAAGCAAGCCTGCCTATTCTGTCGTTTTTGGGGTCGTTTAGGGATTACGTTTTTTCTCTATTTTACTTGTTCCTATATAGTTATAAAGACCATAATTCTTAAGTGTTAAATTATCATTAGACGACAGTATAGTCTCTTTTAATCACTTGCTTTCTGGCAGAACTTTGACAAAGAAGAGATAAATCATTGATAATTTGATCTTAAATCACGGTATTTACATTACGTGATATAATGACTTCTGTGTAAATGCATTATAATTACTTAAGGAATTTAATTGGACTTTTACCACGCGGTGTCCAGGAAAGGGAGAGGTTCAAGTCCTGAACCTTGTAAATAATAGAATGAATCGCGCAAAAAACGGATATTATCGGATCCGTCAAATGTATTTTATTGAGCATATAATTGCAAATTCAACTTAAGTTTACACAATCAAGATATGTGCATAATCCTTAAGTGTATAGCTTCTGTATATTTCAATATTTACACAATAAAATCAATATTATATTTATATATTTGTATCTATGTAAACTTATTAATAAACTGAGGGCATTTGTCTTGTCATTTCTTTAGCAATATTTATATATAACAGCATATTGCAGAGATAATATAATTGTTAAATAGAATGTTTTTTTTTTGCTTTTCAATTTGCAGTGACGACTTTTCCTTAGATAGCGACATATTCAAAGATGAAAAGGTTGATGTTTTTAAAAATATTAAACATGAGAAAACTTATAACGACGAATCAAATAGCTCGACTGAAGATCTTGAATTTGACGTAAGTTATTAAAATTTATATTTGACTAATTTTATTGTAAGAAATATTGACATTGTAATGTAATTCCATAGAAATAACATTTTTCAGCATGTTCTATTTTGAAATAAAAAAATCAATACTTAGATATTGTGCTAAACAGAAGAAATACACATTTCCCAAGATTTAGATAATCATCCCTGATATGAGAAAAAAGGAAGGAATCCGATGAAATAAGCTTAAGAAACCTCATTTGTCTTAGATTTAAAATTATATGAATTTTCAAATTTCAATTACGTTAACTTTAATTTTCAACAGAAATTCTGTTCATTTGTTGATGGCAAACTGCTGAAAGAAGAGATGAAAACTTTAGGCGTGCTACATGGCCTCAATAAGTATATCGAAGATTCGTTTGACAAGTGGGCACAACTTGAATTACATGTTGCTGTGACAGGTAGCTCTGGTGTTGGAAAATCGAGTCTCATCAATGCTCTTAGAAAGTCGAAGCCTACGAACGAAGGTGCCGCCGCTGTTGGTGTTGTTGAGACTACAAAATATGGTTGTAAATATACATATCCTGACAATCCAAATGTAGCTATATGGGATTTACCTGGTGTAGGGACACAAAAATTCTCAAGAGATACATATTTGAAAGACATGAATTTCGCCAGGTTTAACGTAGTATTGATTGTTTCTTCTGGAAGAGTTCTTGAAAATGATATATGGCTTGGTAAGGAATTGCGTGCCTTTAGAACAAATATCATCTTTGTACGAACAAAAATTGACATTGACCTACGGAACGCTAACCGAGATCACCCAGATACGTTTACTGAAACGGACTGCCTTGCTGAAATTAGAAATTACCTATCAGATAGAATTCGTAAAGGAGGAATACCCGCTTCGGTTTCAGGTGTTTATCTGGTTAGCTCTCCAGAAAGAACAAAGTACGACTTTGTTGACTTGGATAAGAATTTAAGAGCTATGCTGAGCACCAAAGGAAAAGCCATCAGGTCAATCATACAAAATTATGTTCAGATAGAAATAAGCAAGAATCAACAAATGAACAAAAATGGTTTTAAATCCCAAAAAGCACTTTCTATAATGTACGGATTCGTGCCCACGCAAATGCTTACCGAAAAACTACGCGAACAATCATTATCTAAAATTAAAACAGTTTGCCAACAAAAATTTTGCATTGATGAAAAATCGCTTGATGAACCGGCAACTCAATTGAAAACTTCGAAGATGAGTATCATAGAGAAAGTAAAATCACTCAGGAAGAATTTTACCTCCGATGTGAAAGACAAGATCAAAAATAAGTACAATCCCTCAGATGTAGCAATTTCTTTACCGTTTGTTTCCGTGTTTTCCTCAGCGTACCACTCATATGTTACAACAAAGGAAAGTATAAATGCGATGTGTGATGAAATGGCTGCAGATGAACTAAGATTAGCAATTGTTCGACTAGATCGGCTTGAAAGTGATTTGAAACCTATCCAGTGAATGACCTTAAACCCATAGTGCTGACCGCTTTGAGAATAACAATAATTAAACTAAAAAAGGATTGATATTCTATGATTAATTGTTTTAATAACATTCAGGGCAGAAAATTATAACAAACGATTAATAAATTCATTCGAGCGGCATTCATTGAACGAATCCCCTAAAACAGGATCACAGGCAAGGAGCCCAGGACACCAAACAGGACAGGATAGAAATTGCTACATAGTTATTTTTTCCAAATTCAATGTTAATATATTAATCAAATTTTCTGTCCATTACTGTGTGAAAAGGTTAATCTTTTTTTTTTTAATATTGTTACTGACAAGAATCTGAGCCGAGGGGCATTTGTGTTAAACAAACACTTTCTTGTCTTGTTTTTCCTTTTTGAATATTGTTCACGTTAAAATAGATTTTACATTATTTTATGGATTCCTTTAAATCAAAAGAAGGGATAAAGTATGGTTGCGTACAAGACCCACGTTCTCAAATTCAATGTGACCTGAAGGTTTAAAATCATATAAAGCCGGCTTAAACTTTATGATTCCTCAATTAATTGTCAAAAGTTTTAACATATATCCCCACTGTCAGACAATGTAGGGTACGCAAAACTGTTTGTATGACTCTGTCAAGTCAACTGTGTTTACATCATTTTGCAATTTTTCTGTCCATTACTGAGTGGATAGGTAAACCCTGTTTTGAAATATTATTACTGACAACAATCTGAGCCGATGACATTTGTGTTTAACAAACACTTTCTTGTCTTGTTCTTCCTTTTTACATAAATTATGTACATATTGTTCAACACTAAAAATATATTTTACATTAGGTGGAGTCTTTTAAACCGAAAGAAAGGGTAAAGTATGGTTGAGTACAAGACCAACGTTCTCAATTTCGAGGTTACTGGGAGGACAAAAATCATATAATGTTCGGCTTATAACTTCTCAGTTAATTCTCAACAGTTTTAACATATGACATCCCCACTATCAGACATTGTGTGGTACGCAAAACTGTTTGTATGCCTTGCTTTTTGGCTGATAACTTTTATTTCTTGAATTGTAAAATACTTTGAAAAATATCTTCGGTAGGGTCAGAGTCGTGTCACGTGCAAAACCCAGATCAAGCTTATACATATTCACGAATCAAAATGACTAATCGAGAAGGAATATTCGTCAGTCCAGAGATCGTGGATCGCGATCTTGTTTGTTTATATCCTGTTCACTGAAGGTTCACTGTTTCTCACACTCTAAAAGTCCAAATAAAATTACAATTTGAGTATGTCAAAATTATGCGACGTTTACCTAAATACAATTTGCCGATTAAAGACAGGAAGTAAACAAACAAGTACCATGATGCTGAGCTAGGAAGTTATTAGTTTCGAAAAAAAAATCATTTTATCCATTCTATCAACATTAACGAGTCTATCCAAAATAAACCCCCTATATAGTTTTTATATATACTAATACTATACAGGGGTACTTTTAATATCATTAATATAGAATGTCAATTTCCTGTGCTTTATCTTTATTGAGCACTATGTTTTGTCATGAACATAAATAAATACTTTTAGTCGCTCGACTCAAGTTAAAAATTTCGTCAGTCTGACATCAAACATCATGTCTGCAACAATGGCTAAAAAGGGGTCCCACCGATATAAAATTCCATCCAATGTTTGGAAATACTCTGGTATTTCAATTGAAAATGAAAAAAAAAATTTAGTTCTAAGAACTAAATATGTATACGCAGGCTTCATAACCTCTGATCCCCTTTCAAAATTCCATTTTATTTAGTTCCGCCCATTGTTTTATCGTTTAGGGCACACGCTTTTTATTACTTGGGGACCATACGCCGCTTTTCATGGAATGGCACGGAAGTGTCACAATGAAGGTTCCGTGATAACCGCCGTATGAACACATCTGCGGGTGTTTCTAAATTCAAAATTTTACTATTTCACGTTTAAATGTTTAAATGCTTAAGCCGGTGCTAGGGGGCGTGGACGGTAACTTGCACTTTCCAGTACCGTCCATGAACAGGCTCAATCAAACCGAGCCTGCAACATTTTCAATTTTGCCGTGTTGGGCTTTCCTTAGGGATTCTGTATTTATCTATTTCATGTTTTTTTGGGTGTCTTGATAACAATAGATTTGTGGTTCGATTTGTGAATCGTAAGTCCTGGATCGTGGATCAGATCGGATCGTCACTTATCCAACGATCCACACCCATAGCAATTAGTCTTATTTACTTTATGCGACAAATATGGCTATATTACCGTTGATATCTAAAAATAGTAGAATCTAGTGCTGGCTTTTAATTTCACGTAATAGTAATATTTGCACTTATGATTAATAAAACTATAAAGCATGAGGTTTTCTTTGGAGTGTGGGCCGTAAGGGGAGCTAGTTGTTGTTTCCTCGAGCATGACAATTTTCAGTCATTGCTCAGTGATGGTTGGTTCCATAAACAGACTTCCTACACAATCGAACAAAATGAATTCTGTATGAACTATATCCATGTTTTCTGTCAAAGAAATGAAAAAGAAAAATATTATTCATATAAATTCACATATTCTTGAAATGTTCAACAATATCAGTGTTTAAATGAATAATTAGTCCATTATTATTTTTTTTACAATTTTCAACAAAGAATAATGACAATTAAATGCATACCTTTCAATTGTGTAATATGAATGTGACTTTGGTTTCAACAGGAATATACTGAACAATACCTTTAGGAAATAAGATAATGGATGTAAAACAAAAAATATTGAATTCGATTTTATTCTTCACATGCTTGTTAAAAGTGAATTAAATTGATATTCTTGGTCAATCTTATAACTTTCTCTATTTCAGCAAATGAGGGTACAAAATAATTATTTATTTTTTCGAAATGGTTATTCAATCTGCTAACCTAATTTCTTAAAAACCTAAGAAAATATTCGTTTTCCTTTGAAAAGACGCTAGTAGCATCTTTCTGTGAAGAATTATTTTTCTTAAAGATTGCTGAAAGTGAATATGAATTAAAAAAACAACTCTGTCACGGCTAGACGGAAGTTACTGTTCACGCCACCTTGAACTCGCCTTCTTCAAACTCCCATATCAAAAATGGTGATTATTCTGTAAAGTCTAGGGCATTCTATAGAAATCTTTCATTTTCCAAAAACGTAGCTATTGTTTTCACTGTTTGTTTAATAATATCGTGGTCAACAATTTGCCTTTTACAGTGTGGAGACGTTCATCCGCATCCTGGGCCCAACAACTCATTTTCACATGCATCACTTGATACATCATTTGATATTTCACATAACTTGTCCATTCTACATTACAATGTTCAGAGTCTTTTACCCAAACTTGACATTATCAAGACAGAGTTCGATTCTTTTGACATATTAGCATTTAGCGAAACATGGTTACATTCATCGGTTAGCACAAGTGCACTACTATTAAATAATTTTCATATTCCCGAGCGCAGAGACAGAGGACATGACAAATATGGTGGTGTTATATTATACGTCAAAGTAAATTTAGCTTATGTTCGAAGGCATGACTTAGAATTCTTAGATATTGAATGTATTTGGATTGAACTTATTCTAAAGCGGAACCTTAAGATGCTTATTATACTCTTCTACCGCCCACCAAACTCTGATGCCCAATATGACCTTAAAATTGAACAATCTTTTGACCTTGCACTTAATAATGGTATTCAAAACATTACAATTGTTGGCGACTTTAACCTCAATCCTGCCATACCCGCATCCAAGCGAAAACTTTTACACCTTTGTAACCAATTTGGGCTTGCTCAATGTATCAATAATCCAACTCACTTCACTGAAACGTCTTCATCCGTCATAGATCTTATTCTTATAAAAAACATACGTAGTTTGGTACTTAGTGGCGTTGGTGAACCAGTTTTCGATCAGCAAATTCGTTATCATTGTCCCACTTTTGCACTTTTTAAATTTACTAAACCAAAATGTCAGACTCACTCCCGTCAAATATGGCTGTACGACCGAGGAGATTATAATGCATTGAGATACTCTTTAGAACAATTTGATTGGCAGACCATCCGTAACACTGATATTGACCAATGGGTCTCTGCATTTACATCTACCATATTTAAATTTTGTAACCAATATATTCCTAATAGGTTAATCACCATCAGACCCACAGAACCACAGTGGATATCAGGTGAAATTAAACGACTTATACGCAAACGCAAGCGTCTTTTCAAACAAGCTTAGCTCCATAATCGAACTTCGGACTGGTCGAAATTCCGCCAACTTAGAAATAAAATAGTTTCCCTTATTAGAGATGCTAAATCAGAATATACAGCCAAATTAACCCAGACTCTCACTAATAAAACATCTAATAAATCATGTTGGGCCACAGTTAAAATGTTTATCTCCCCTAATAGTCAAATAAGATCTATTCCTCCACTGCTCAATGACTCAAATATTCTATATGACAACGAGGAAAAGGCGGACGCCTTCAATCGTTTCTTCGCTCAACAAACATTTCTTGACGAACCTGATTGGCAACCCATTCCACCAATTTATTCTTTCTCCTCAACTCTATCATCACTTCACTTTGAACCATCTGATATCGAACCATTATTACGAACACTACCACTTGGGAAAGCAGTTGGTCCTGATTTAATAAACAATCGCGTTTTAAAAGAAAATATCGTCTCAATTAGCTGTTCCTTTGTCAGATATTTTCAATTATTCTCTGTCTATCGGTACTTTTCCTACTCAATGGAAGGTTGCAAACGTATGTCCAGTTCATAAAAAGAATGAGACCAATGTAATTAGTAATTATAGACCAATTTCACTTCTCTGTTCCCTAAGCAAAGTTTTAGAAAAAGCTGTTTACAAACACGTATATAATCATCTAATTAGCAACAACATTTTAACAGAATATCAGTCTGGTTTCCGCCAAGGCGACTCAACTATTAACCAACTATCAGTAATTTATAATTCTTTCCTTAAAGCAATAGACAATGGAAAGGAAATTAGAATTGTATTTTGTGATATAACAAAGCTTTTGATCGGGTATGGCCACAAAGGACTCATAACTAAATTGTCATCTGCTGGAATTCGTGGAGATTTACTTCTTTGGTTTCAAAAGCTACTTATTCAATAGGCAGCAAAGAGTCACTGTCCAAGGATCATCATCTTCTCTTCTTTACGTCAAGGCTGGTGTTCCTCAAGGATCCATTCTCGGTCCACTGCTTTTCCTTATATTTATAAACGACATTGTAATAGATATCGACGCCAACATCAGACTTTTTGCAGATGACACAAGTTTATCCCTTATCGTTAATACACCCGAAATAACAGCAAATGAACTAAACTCTGATTTACAAAAGATTAACCAATGGTCTAAAGAATAGCTGGTTTCGTTTAATCCAGCAAAGACCATATGTATGACTATATCTCGGAAAGCTATCAAACCACAACAGCCTCCCCTACTTCTGCAAAACCAAGTCATTTCCGAAGCTTCTTCTCACAAACATTTAGGAGTTGTTCTATCAAACGATTGTTCATGGTCAAATCATCTAGAATATATTAAAAACAAAGCTTGGACAAGGATCAATATTCTCCGTAGTCTAAAATTTACACTCGACAGAAATACATTAGAAACATTATATTTGACATTTATCCGTCCATTATTAGAGTAGGGAGATATACTTTTTGATAATTGTTCAGCTAGCGAAAAGCATGAATTAGATATGATTCAAAACGAGGCTGCCAGAATAGTCACAGGTGCTACTAAACTTTGTTCTCTTGAAAAACTTTATGACGACCTAGGATGGGAATCATTATCAACTCGACGTAGTAATCACAAACTGGTCTTTATTTACAAAATTCGAAATAGTTTATGTCCCACTTACTTAAACACTCTAATCCCAACACGTCAAAACGAAAGATACACCTTCAGAAACTCCTCTGATATTCCTCCTATCTATTGTCGAACATCCTTTTATCAAAACTCTCTCATCCCGTCTAGCATCCGTTCCTGGAACACGCTCCTCATAATACAAAATCATCAGAATCTTTACAACAATTCAAGCGACTTCTTTCAAACCCACACAAACCCCCTAATTATTTTAACACAGGGCCTCGCAAACTTCAAATCCTGCATACTCGCTTAAGACTTGGCTGTAGTTCCTTAAATGATGATCTTTTCCGAAAAAATATTTCCGAATCAAACACATGCGCCTGTGGTCAAACAGAATCAGTGTGTCATTTTCTTCTAAACTGTCCTTTGTATCAACATATGCGAGATATTCTCTATAGGAACATCATACAACTGGATAGATCCCTGATCATAACTCACACTCTGCTATTGCATGGTTCAAATTCCCTTTCAAACAACCAAAACGTAGAGCTTTTCAAGTCTGTATACCTTTATATTGATTCTACGAAACGATTTATATAATGTCTGACTGCTACTGCTA